ATTTATGTACAGTATATATGTATTTATATACATATGTATTTATATACAATTGGAGCCATATTTTAGATTACTTCATATTATATAGGGAAATATTTTGTTGGAGTTACCAGATAAAAGGTAATTGATATTAAGATCTGAACTTCTTTTCTCTCTCATATTTCTTTATTGTTACAGTGTGAGAGTGCATGCGTGCATGCGTGTGTGTGTGTGTGTGTGTGTGTGTAGCTTTTTGGCTATGCTGGCTTTTTATGTGAGTGCTAAGGATTTGAACTCAGGTCCTCAAATCTGAAAGAAAGCACACATGCCCCCTGAGGCATCTCCCCACTCTCTCCTGCGTGTATTTGTCAGATCAGTTTCTACAATATTTCTAATGTACCATGTACACTCTCAGGAGTAATTGCTTTGAGAATAAAGTTCTGGCAGATCATATATATGAACTCTGAGACTGAAAATGGAGTCTTAACACACAATGGCTGCTTTTTATTGCAACTCTATGATCACATAACTTCTGAATGGCCAAGCAGGCCTGCAAGCTTCAGAATGTCGTGGGCAAGGGGACGGTTGGTCAGAGCTATTGAAATGTGCGTGAGGTAAGGCTGACATTCCTGGCAGAAGGCAGGGTGCCCTGGTTGACGTTGATTGGAGTATGCGAAATTCTTCCGACACCACCATTAGCGTTTTTTCGTTTCCCTTTGTCTAGCAGCTACTTCCCGAATACCATCGCATTGATTCTACTCTGCTAATTTGATCTGTCACATTCTGTGCGTCCATACATCCTTGCTTATATTTAGAATCTGCTTACTCGCTCGCTCACTCCCTTCTCCAAATTCCAGGCAGATTTCAAATGCTACTAAGCCAGAGAATGTATGTTGTAACTTTGTCACATAAAACACACACGTACACATAACACACATACACATCTTAAGAACCTATCCTGAATAACATGGCCTTTGCTTAGGGAAAAAAAAAAACCAGAAGACAGTTTACACTGCAGTGTGGCAAAGACCATATTTTCTCGTATTTAGGAACAAAGGCATGTCAGGCTTTATTGAGCACATCACTAACTATATAACTAGCGTTAAACACTCTATTTGCAACTGTTGCTGTGTGTTTTGTGTGTGATTATCACCCCCAGATCTGCATCCTATAAAAAGATATTTCTGTTTGCTTAATTATAAAGCTCCTTATGAACAGGCTCCTCTGTAAATAGCTTGGTGCGGCTGAAATAGAAATATAATTATAATGAAGGCAGATGTTTGTGAGATACTGGCTCATGAAACTTGTTCAGAATCTTACAAAGGAGCAACGTCGGAGCATGTGTTTATTGTGGGCCAAAGCTGGAGCAAGGCGTGTTTGCCTCTGGGCTGGGTGCGTTTGCCTCCAACTCTTGCTCTGGGGCCTCCGTGTTGGGGACAGAAGGGACTCACCTGGCTCCCAGGACTGAGCAGAAAGGATGATTGGTTTGGAGGGAAACTAAGGCAAAGCTGAGGAGAGCAGACACCTTGGATCAGGTTGAAGAGGAGATAGCCAAGCTGTGCACACTGTTCCACCCACTGTCTAACTTGGGCTGTGTTTGGGGGGATCCGAGGTGGGGTGGTCTGCTGTGATTATGTTAAAGTCAGGAGAGAATGTCCTTCCTTCTAACTGGATGATCTAGAAATTACTCACACAGGAAAGTGGGGGAGAAAGTCAAAAGGAATGTTCAAGTGACGAGTTTCTCTCCATTTGAGAAAGCAATGTACTCATGTGGGGAAGGCAGCAGCCTGTGTGAACGTTAAACATTGAGACGTTAAATAATTGTCTGTTCAAAGCATCAGCTCTTGGCTAACAATCAGGTGTGCTATTTACACCCCTTTGATTCAGGTGACATTCCTTTTGAATGCCCTTGTTACTGGACAGGGCCCTTAAAGTCACCATGCTTCTCTGCCCACACTTTTTGAGTTACTATTGTGTTGAATTTTTAAAATACTTTGAAAAGACTAGTTCTCCTTCTCTCTTTTTTTAAAATGATTCCAAGAATAAAAGGAATTAAAAGGCAGGTAATGTGTCTATGGAAATCTGATTGTGGATATGTTCTTCACAGCCACACTTTCAGGCTACTTTCATTCATGTGCTGACATTTCAGAATTCTGTCAAAAAGTCAGAAGCACTAAAAACTGTGGTTTTCAAATGTAATAAACATGAAGTATTTTTGCATTTGTGTATTATGAGATGTGTGTGTCACTGGGCTTCTGAATCCAAGTACTAATAAGTGTCCAATTAGTTGCATTTTTGACTACAGGATAATGTTAAGGGTCTTACTTATGAGGGTTACAAGTTCTTCCATTAAGGGATCAGTTTCCCTCCCTCCCTCATATGTATCCATATATCTCTATAGATACTTGTTATCTATAACCAGTACATACTAAACACTTATACATATATATATATATATATATATATATATATGTATATATATATATATATGTATCTCCACTTTATATTTCTAATACACTATGTGCACATATATACTTCTAATACAGTATGTGCACATATAAAACATGTATATGAACATACTCAATATGCTATATCTTTTATCTACATTTCTCACTCTTTATGGTGGTGGCACAGAGTCTCGTGTAGATCACACTGGCTTCAGACTCTGTGGAAGCTCGTAAAGGTTTCCTAGTGAGATCTGAGCTTGCTGTACACAACAGGGCTGCATTAGGGGATGGCTTGAGCACATGCATGGTCACCAGGTGTCTGGAATGATCTGCACTTGGCTGTGCTGGGTGGGGGGAGTCTTTTGCTCCACCCCTTGGCATTCCTATAAAAGCTCTTTTGTAGAGACAGAAGGGGCTGGTGGGTTCAGACCCTAGGCCCTCCTGAGGCTATCCTGTGTTTTCTGCCTGTTTCTCTATATATACTTCTTCCTACAAATTCCTCATTCCTCCCTGCTCAAGAGTACCCTGGGAGAATAAGAGGGAGCTGGTCTCCCTCGAGACTCTCGATATGAGAGAGAGTATAGCCTTGAATTGCTGATTCTTCTACCTCTATTTCCTCAATGCTGGGGATTACGGGCATGCTATACCTCACCTGTCTTTGCAGTGCTTGCCATTAAGACCAGAGCTTTGTGCGTGCTTGCGCTCCACCAGCTGAGCTACAGCCCTGTCCGCATTCCTTATCCTTGAGCACACATCATCCACCATCTCTTTAACGACATGTTAAGATCGTAGACAGCCCCGGTAAAAGTACTGTCCTTCAGTGTCTCACCTCATTTTGTGGGTGATCTTAATGGGAGATTTTGTGCAAGCACTCTATCAAATGCCCAACTGTCTGTGGTTGGCATTGGAGTGTAAGATAGGCCAGGGTGGCTGCTGGGGCCTTGGTCAGGAAGCTTGATGTCACTCAGCGGTGAGCAGTTGCTGTTTGAGTCTCTGAGGAGCTGCAGCAATGACGAGAATTGCACATGAAGTGCCCACTGCATGCTAAGTGATGCCCCACGTGTGCGCTCTGCGCTAAGCGATGCTGCACGCGCTTTGGCATTTGATCTGTACCAAGTGGGCTACAGTTCCTGGACTCCTCTGCATGAGGGGCTCAGTCTCAAATATACTGAGCAGTGTCCTGGTTTGCACTGATGAATAGCCCCGGATGGTGCTTCTGTCCATAGCAAACTTAGAATCGCTATTTAGTTGGGATTGTTTCTGTGAGTTCTTAGTCTTTGTGAAGTTTCCTGATATTCATCCCCCGCTGAGTTTTTCCTCTTGAAAGGAAATCCATGTCCTCTTCCCATCATTTGCTTCTGTCATTAAAAACTGTCGTAGTAAAGCATGGCAGGTGAAACGCAGTCTCATTTAATCTACCAGTGAGGTCTGGCTTCTTATAAAATGTCCTGCCCATTCCCATCAATTTTGCATAGTCATTTTCACATTTAGAAAATTGTTTTTTAATGAATAAGTGCTGTTTATATATTATGAATATTGACTTTCTGGCACCCTGTTCTCCTTGGTTATTACATCATTTGTTACATCATTCAAAGCAACCACGATGAAAAATTGTCCTGGCTTCTGTGCCATTGTTTAAATGCTTTGGGTGACATTTTTTTTGTAAAGATGAGTGAAAGATTCATTCTTGTGTTCATTTCTAGGTGTTCTTTTAGAAATATCTGTCCTTCAACTACCAAAGGAGATGAAAACACCAGGTCCGAAGTCTAAGAGATGAAAACACCAGGTCCGAAGTCTAAGGTAAGACCGTAACTTCTTGCAGGGTTGGGAACAGAGCTTTAGGATAGAAGGCTTGCATGAAAAGCCTCCAGCTTCACTTTTGTTAGTGTTTAGCACTTTTAAGTGCTAGTGACATCGAGAAATCCAGTTCTCTCCTTTGGCTTGTAATGTTCTCTGCCTAAAGATAGGATGTGCATTTCTGGGGGTTAGAAGAATACAATTTCCGTAACTATTTGTCTGTCATTCTTCAGTGCTACTCAAAATATGAAGGCTCTGTCTTTGCAAGGTGAGGGGCAAAGACACCTAAGCAGGGGTCGACAAATGAGAGGGCAGCCGAAAGCCATCGGTGCAGAGAGGAAGAACTCCTGATTTGGTCTCAGAGTGGTGAGAGGAAGTTCCCTAGAGGCAACTGCACTGACAGTAACTTTGGCCATGAGCTGAGAGGTTTCTAGGTCAAGTGTGTCTGCACAAAGGAACAATGGGTTATTTAGGGAAGTGAGAGGGGACAGGGCTTTGCAGAACTGCAGAGAGTTCATGATGACTATAGGCTAGACTTCTGGCCCAGAGAGACTAGATAGGACACAGAGAGACTCCGGGAGGCTGCTGATGGCAAGGAAAGGACCCTGCACCTCCTCCCAGACAGTGGGACAAATTAATGTCAGGTGCCATCTACTTATGTGTTTACTATTTGAATATCCTCTCCCTACCCCCTGCCCACCCCCGCCATTGCTGGATTCTAACAGTTCCCTTGGAGGAGGGCGTGAGAAGGCGCAGCGTCAGTGACACACCAGGAGTCAGTTGAAGGCAAACCCAGCACACTGATTTATTCAATAATGGGGAAGGCCTCATATACCCTCCTCCCAGCACCCAGTCTGTGTTGCAATCTGGTGGCATTGTGTGGTCTTCCTTCATTGGCTCGTATGATCAGGAACTCTGACAGTGACCAGGAACTCTGACAGCACCGGTTGCTAGGCCCTTAGGCAGACTCCAGGTTGGTTCATAAGGAATTATGTTATGTGAATGCCTTGGCAACTGGTTTGAGTGAATTTCCTCAACCCTATGGGCCTTTCCTACTACATATCCACCCTTTTATTTTATTATGTGGGCACTGAGCGGGAGTCGGAGTTCTTTGCTCCATCCTTGTTAACCCCACCTAAAAAGTGGGGGGGGGGGGCGCTCAGCAATTGGACTATGCCGTCTTAGGTTGGATTGCCAAACAAGCTCTTACCCATTATTGACTATCAGCCCTAGAAGAGCATCCATCCCTGGGGAGTCACCCTGGGTAGGGAGGGTAAGGCAGTAGCCTTTTGAATTTCAGAAAGCTAGGCATGCATAACCTGTAGAGGGCTATGAGTTGGATGTCTAAGAGCCATTAACACCTGTAGAGTCACCTTAGCGGCTGCCTGTTGTTGCTGGATGTGCTGTAGGAGACACTTAAAAAGGAGAAAGATTAAATGCACCACCCCACCAATCAAAACACAAGTGAGAATTCAAAAAGGATCAAATAGCCTTTTTATAACACACCAAACCTCAAAAAAGTAGTCAAAGGCCGTATCCTCTGCCCTTGTCTGATTTAATTGGAAAATTTCATACGTTAGCTGTAATGAATAATATAGAAACTTAGCTGACCATGGGCCCTTAATATATTTAGCTAGCTCCTGGCCTACTAAACTAACATTCCTCATCTCAAAAAGCATCATACAAATGAGGAAAAGTGAGGGTCCACAAGTCTTCAGCCTTTAAAGGGGCAATGAGAGCAAGAAAGGGGAGTAGATACATTACCCATCCTGGGTTATTTCCTCCTTGGTGGAAGCAGGATGATCTGTGACCAGGTATACATCACTTGCAGGGACCCATATTGGCATAGTGGCACTCTGAGGAAAAACATAAGCATACCTTTTCCCATGGGTTAGCAGGGGGGCTGGCAGCTGCCATTGGAGGGAGATAGAATTTCTCCATCTCACTAGGGGCAGGGGTATGTTCTTTGGCAGAGATGCCCAGTGCTTGTAGGCTGGGCTGAGCCCCTTGTAGGGCCTTGAGGCCCAGGTCCGAGACCTGTTGAAAATAGGCATTCAAGCCAGTCTGTGCCTGGTGCACAGGATGGACATGTTCCCTGTGCCCTGTGAGCATATCATAGGTCACTGGGACATTAAGTAAGATGTTTGTCTGTGCCTGGGATTCTGCCTGATCATCACAAGCCAATCTCCAACTGAGAAAGACTGCAGGCTCCAACACAGCTTTAAGTAAATGGTACCAATGGAAATACGTTTGTAACTGCATGGACCATTGAGTAAGGACCTGCTGGAAGTAGGGCCACCTGACACATGGCTCCCCTGCAAATGGAGAGATCAGCTATGGGGGTGTGAATCCAGGGCTGGGCATCGGCATATTGGCCCACATTGACTTGGAAGGTTCCTATGGGCCTGCAGTGGTTCAGGCTGTGAGGATTGTAAGATACCTGGTGCTGCAGGAGAGTAGCCACCTCCTGAGGCAGGCAGGTACCAGGTTAGATCACCCCAAGAATATCATGGAGGTGTAGCTGCCTGCAGTGGTGGTTGAGCAGAAGGGGGAGCAGCACATGACTTAGTGACAGCTGCCTTCTCCTTGACAGATTTCGTGGGGCCCAAACTGACAGTTACATTCTCCTTGACAGATTTTGCAGGGCCCAAACTGATAGATATCTTGGGGCCCAAACTGACAGTTATGTTCTCCTTGGTAGATTTCACGGGGCCCAAATTGACTGCTACACACTGCTTGACAGATTCTGTGGGGCCTGAACTGACAGCTATATTCTTGACAGATTTCATGGGACCCAAAGTGACAGCTGTGTTCTCCTTGACAGATTTCACTTGGCCCAAACTATCTGTCTGTCTCATCATCAGATCAAGCATAGAGATATCCAAGATGGGAGTAGTGGGGGTGATGAAAAGATTACCCATCTTTTAGAGGGAAACAGCAAGCAGATAAAGAAGACAACAGTCAACAGGGGTGGAATTTGTATGTGACCCTTATGTCTTGTGCTTCATGGGGGACTTCCATGGTTTTTTAGGCCATGGCCGTGTACCCACACAGTATCTCCAGATGAGGGACAATGGGGAGCCAAGCCTTGGTTCCACCTCCGGGGGTGTCAATCCTTATGTGGAGGTGCTGGGTGAACCAAAACAGAAAAAAAAAATGTGCTTTCCTAATGGCATGGCCAGACAAACATGACAGACAACATGAAAGAAGGAAAGAAATGGGGGGTCCCAGTGCTTACCTGCCAAAGGGATGGAAAGAACACAACACTGAGGGGCCTTCTCACCAAAGCACACCATCTTGGGGGTGCTGTCAAGGGAGGGAGATGATCAGAACTTGTACTGGGGAGAGGAAGTAACAGAAGCCCCACATTCAGGCACCAAATACTGCTGGATTCTAATGGCTTCCTCGGGGGAAGGGGGCGAGAAGGCACAGTGTCAATAGCACAGACACTGGAAGTCAATTGAAGGCAAACGACAAACTCCTTTATTCAATAATTGGGAAGGCCTTATATACCCTCCTCCCAGCACCCAGTCTATGTCACAATCTGGTGGCATTGCATGGTCATCCCTCATTGGCTGAGCATGATTAGGAACTCTGACAGTGACCAGGAACTCTGACAGCACCTGTTGCTAGGTCCTCAGGCAGACTTCAGGTTGGTTCATAAGGAGGTATGTTATGTGAATGCCTTGGCAACTGATTTGAGCCAATTTTCTCAACACTATTGGCCTGTCCTACTGTACCTCTCTATAGATGGTTGCAAGTTGTCATAGGGACAATGGCAATTCTTGGAACCTCAGCAATACTTTGGCACAATTGTGGATATGAAGTTAGCATGAAACTTTCAGGCTCTCCATATATTGGTGAGAAGATGAAGATGAGCAATAGGAGGAAGTGGGACCAATGAAATTAAAAGGGCAGATCTCAGATGTTAGTCAGCCTTTTGTGACTGACAACATGCTTGTGCTTTCAGACGTTTCCATCTGTGGTCACTGGTTCTGATTCTGTGGGTCTGTGTGAGGTGAGGCATCATGAAGAAAAGGCAGAAGAAAGCTACTTATATCAAAACCAGGAAGGAGAGAGAGAAGAGATGAGGGAGGAAGAGGGAGATGGGAAAATATAAAAACACATAGTCTTTAAAGGCATACTGCAGTGACCTGCTTCACCCAGGTCTCTCCTCCTAACACCCCATTCAGCTATGTGCTCCTTGGTAGATTTACTACTAATGAAATTCATGGCCTCACAAGATCAACACCTCTGGATATTGATTTTAAAAAAAGATCAATTTTTGATGTATGAGCCTTGGGGGACATTTCAGATGCAAACCACAGCATGCAGATTCTTAAGGGTAAAAGTCTAGACTCCTTTTGGCTTTAGTATTTGTGAGGGGCCTGTGTTCATTTAGCAGAATTCTGAAGCACTGTGCTTGAATAGATCAGACCACAGAAATAACATTTTCTCAGTGTTCTGGAGGCCAGATGTGTGAGATCAAGGTGTTAGGAGGTTCTTCTGAGGGCCATGAAGGACAATCTCTTTCAGACATCATTCTCTGGCTGATACATGGTCATTTTTTGGTGACCTTCACATTGCCTTCTCTTTGTGTCTGTGCCTCAGTCTCCTCTTTATATAAGGACGCCAGTCTTGTTGCATTAAAGCCCACCCTAATTACACTGTTTTATATGAATTAACTCTGGAAAGACCCTATCTCCAAATATGGTCCCATATTGAGAGTTAGGACCTTTACATTAAAACTTGAGAGCGAGCTGAGCTTGTGCAGGAAGATAATTCTTTAAAACATATCATTACTATTTCCTGTACCAAGGTACCTGCACGTCCAGGTAGGTTAAGCACATGGTCCAGCCTGGGGACTCCGCACTTCCAGAACTGATGAACGGATGTGTGTGGTCAGGGACTGCCCCTGATGTTGACACAGGTGTGTTGTTCTTCTTAATCTGTGTTCATTTTTCTCAATGTAGTGGCTTTTTGCAAAGCAGAGGGATTTCATTGATTGAGTTCCTACCTACAGTGTAGCAGCATCTGCTTACCAACTGCTTACTTTGGGCTTAGATATAACAGTCCCTGAGTTCATGCATTAGTTTAGGAGCTGCATAATGTGCTGGATGTGTGAGACCAGTTATTGACTTGATGTTGATTCTTGTTTCTTTGATCAAATATATCATGCATATGATAAACATAAAATAATCAGAAAAAAAAACACATCCTTGACAAGTTCTCATTTCCTTGGTATTATCTAGTTATTAATTGATTTCATTATTCCCCTCCCCTCTCCCCTCCCCCCAACATGGTACTGGGAATTAAGCCCAGAACTTCAAACTTACAAGGCAAGTGCTGTTGCACTGAGCCATATTCTCAGCCCTCACCCTTCAATCACTGACATTAGCGGAGAAACTCCTCTGTGCTGGATGCACTGGGGTGCTAGGGAGTAAGACAAGCTCCTCCTTTCAACTCTTCAAATTTCAATCTAGTACAGATTGCAAGGCAGACATACAAAGCACTTAAGATGGAGGACACACGAATGACAGCCGCTCTGAAGGAGGCACAAATGCTGCTCAACTAGATGAGAGAAGGGCAGAGCACTTCCTTCCTGGAGATACAAATCCATGACCAAGTCACCAAAAGTCTATGTCCCCTACATCCTGTTCAGTGCTAACAGAGCATGTCAACGACCAAAGCAGAGACAGCCCTTGATTTCAGCACAGACTCATGAGACAGCAGGGAGATTGGAAGGATGAACTTCTGGTTTGGCCTTGTTGGGGGACACATACTGGGGCTTCTCTTTTGAGAATGTCCAGACTTTGTCTGGACAGTTACTGATTTTCCTTTAGGAGAGGCTTCTCTATACAACCCCATGGAAAATTAACATGGGAACCCTTGGTTATGACATTCTAATAGATTATGCCAAAGGAGTTTCAGAAATATAGTTTAAATATGGTGGAAAGGCCCACATTTCATCATTTACTATCCTCTACAATCTCATTACTTTCTGTGACAGAGGTGATGGAATGTGTTATATGTAGCACAAGCATGCATGTGCAAGGGAATACTCTCTCTCCCTCCTCCCCCTTCCTCCTTCTAGAGCATATAAAAGGTCTCTCTCTCTCTCTCTCACCTTAAAGTAGGAAGTGACTGCATTGTGAGAAGGCCTATCTATAGAGAAAACCATGTAGAACTGCACCAGGACTTTGGAGCTAAGGGCAGTCTTAGCCAAGAGCCAAGAGGAAATTGGGAATTTTGATTCTGCAGCTACAAGAAGAAGCAGTCTTCTGGCAACCTGGAGGAACTCAGAGTCAGGTCCCTCCATCCTCCCTCCTCTGATGGGGATGTCGCACAGACCACATCTTGACTGAAGCCTCCTAGACCCAGTTGGGTCCAGGCAGGCCCCAACTAGACTATGACCAGCCTCCTGGCTCATAGAACCAGGGGATGACAAATAGTTGTTCTTCAAACCTATTCACTTTTTGAAAGTCTGTAGATAGCATAAAAAATGAATATAAATGTGATGGTCAGATACATAAAGACAGAATCTACGAAACCATAAAAGCCAACAATCCCTTTTTGTTTACAAACCACAGGCCTATTATATTCATATGCCACATTTGAAGGATGTCTGGCAGAAATAACTGAAAAAAATTGAGTGATCACTCTGAGTTATTTGCTGTTATAAAAAAATTAAGTGGCAGAGGAGCAGGGTAGAGACAGTGTTCAAATACCCTTTTTGAAGGCAGTGTTACCCTAACAACAAAGTCAGAGAACAATAAAGGAAATTATAAGCTAATATCCTTGATGAATATACATGAAAAAGTACTCAAGAAAACCTTACTAACAACAAGCTTAATTCAAAACTTGATACATTGAGATCAAGTAGGGTTTATTATCCCTGGAGAATGCAAGGATGGTTTAAATATGTAAGTCAATGCACACAATATACCATGCTAACATAGTGAAGGATAAAAATCCACATTATCACCTCCATAGATACAGGAAAAAGCATGTGAAAAAACTCAACATGATTTTGTCAGTAAAAACTCTCAGTACATTAGATGTAGAATGTATCTCAACAAAACCAAACATTATATAGTAAACCTTCAGCTAATGTCATACTTAAAAAATAATAAAAAGTTGAAAATTTTTCCTGGCAAGTCTGAATATAAAACAAGAGTGCATGCTGCTCTTGCCACTCCTGACCAATGTAAAACTGAAGTTCTGCACTGAGCAAATTGGCAGGAGAAAGAAGAAAATACTCAACCTGGAAATAAAGAAGTAAAATTACAATCATTTGCAGATGGCCTGATCTCATATACAGAAAACTCTTAAGACCCCATTAAACCCTTGCAAAACCAAGAAATTCAACAAATTTGTAGGATTCACAGTCAATGTATAAAATTAGTTGCATATCTATCTACTAATAATGAACTACTAAAAAAGAAGAATTCACCTGTTTATGATAGCATAGCAATCAATACTTCATAATTTGAGCAAGGTGGTAAAGGTCTGTACAGTGAAAGCTGAAAGACACTGGTGGAAGAAACTGAGGACCTATACAAACCAACAGAAAGATAGCTCATGTTCATTGATCAGAGGAATAATCATTGTTAAAAATCAACACTATTTACAAATATATAGATTCGGTGTAATCCCTCAAAATGCCAGTGTCATTCTTCACAGAAATAGAATGGAAGGCTCCTTTTCTAAAGCGTGTGTGTACCCACAATAGTTACTGCAGTAAAGAAAACACTATACCGGAAGTATCACACTTTCCAATCTCAATGTAAATGAATAGATACGCCAGTCATACAATATGGTTGGCATGAAAATAGACACAGAGACCAATGGAACAGACTAGAAAGCATACATACATATATATGCATGCAACCAGAATTCGACAGAGGCACCAAGAATACCAACATGGAAAGGACAATCTTTCCAGTAAGCCTACATTTATTTTATATGCATGTAAAGATGAAATAAACATGGAGTAAAGACTTAAATCCCTAAAATTCCTGGAAAAAATTAATGGAGAAAGCTCTTTGACATTGGTCTTGGCAATAACCCTTAGGGTAAAACACAAAGTACAAACAACAGAAGTGAAAGCAGACATGGAGAACAACTCATTCACCCAAATCTCCCTTCTCTGGACCTGGCATGATCTCAGTTAATCATGTTTCACCCGACCTTCATGTCTCCTCTATTGATAAGATCCAGAGTTCTACTGAAATCACCTAGGTTTTTGATGTAGTTCACCTGGAATATTATACTACAGGGGTCTGTCTGCTACCTAGTCTCTCTCTCTCTCTCTCTCTCTCTCTCTCTCTCTCTCTCTCTCTCTCTCTCTCTCTCTCATATATATATATGTATGTATGTATGTATATAATCTTTGTGTGTGTGTGTAGATGATACAGTATGAGGTGGTCTAGGGGTTCTAGAGTATGTACAGTGTAGGTAAGATGTGCTTATATAGTATGGTGTCGGCTGCTTTTGTTAAATATTGAATTTTAAAAAACTGGCTCCATGAACTCATGTAATCTTTGTAAGGGGGTCTGTCAATGGTTATCATCTCGATTCCCAACTCACCATAACAAGGAAAGCTGGCAGACCTAAGGTTAACACATTCTCAGGAGGCTTGGAGGGGCCTCCTGGAGAAATATCACTGGAAAGCAGGTGGACATACTCTAGTACTCACCGTCTCCCTGGAAGTCTGTGGGTCTCCTTGACCTCTACAGAGGACACTGGAACCCAAGCATTGCTGAATGGTGCAAACATGAGGAAATGAATGGATGTTCTCTGTTCTTGAGGCCCACAGGGGCCCAGAACCACAACTCCCATGGAAACACCTTCCATCTCACTATCTATATTCCTGGGATAAAGGCAGATAAACTGTGAGATAGAGGAATGGACAAGTGTAAGAATATCATCCTTATCACCAGCATGACTAGAGAATGGCAGTCCCCAGGGATTTGCTATGTGACCAACACTTTATTACTGTGTCACATCATTGTACTTAGCACTGACCAATGTCATAGCCACTGGTTATCTGGGATTAAATTAATCTATACAATATAATTAAAATTCAGCTCCTTTGTCACATTGGGCGTAGTTCTAGAAGGCAAGAGCCACATGTATCTCAGGATATTCGTCTGTAAGCAACAATAAGCATATTTGCCTCAGCATGGAAAGACAGAGGAGATGCAGACAGAAATGGACTTGCTCCCTGCAGCAAGCCTTTGACCATGATCAACTTAGTAACCAGAGACTGGCCACGCAGCTAGGAAGCACCTGCTTTACCTAGATTCACATGAATAACAGTTCTTCTAGAGATTGGGACAAGCAGAATTGCTGAGGTGAAATGAAGGTCAGCTTTTGGTGGGGATGGACTCATTCAGTACATTTATCCATTTTTTTTAAAAAGGTTTTTTTTTTTTCATTTTACATAGCAATCCCAGTTCCCCCTCCTTCCCCTTCTCCCAATTCCCACCATCCCCATCATCCCCCATCCACTCCTCAGAAAGGGTAAGGCCTCCATTGGGGAGTCAATGAAGTCTGGCATTCTAAATTGAGGCTGAGCAAGATATCCCACCCTAGGCCATGTGTTTCAAAAAGCCATGTCATGCACTCAGGATAAGTCCTGGTCCCACTTCCAGGGGCTCCCCAAACAGATCTAGCCACATAACTGTCACCCACATTCAGAGTGCCTAGTTCGGTCCCATGCATGTTCCCCAGGTGACAGGCCAGAGTCCATGAGCTTGGATCAGCTGTGGCTGTGGTTTTCTCCATCATGATCTTGACCTCATTTACTCCTGTGATCCCTCCTCCCTCTTCTTGAAGTCTAGGAGCTCAGCCCAATACTTGGTTGTGGATCACTGCATCTGCTTCCTTCAGTTACTGGATATAGGTTTTATGATGACAATTAGGGTAGTCACTAATCTGATAAGAGATGGGGGATAGGAATAGAGACTGAGATGGCCGAGTGGAGACAGGGACAGAGAGGAAGAGCAATGAAAGAGATACTTTGGTAGAGGGAACCATTAGGAGGTTAGAGAGAAACCTGGTGCTAGGGGAAATCTCCAGAAATCCACACAGATGACGCCAGTTAAAACTCCTAGCAATAATAGAGAGGCTGCCTGAACTTACCTTCCCCTATAATCAGATTAGTGCATTACCCATTTTTAAGACACATTGGAATTTAGGTTTTTACCACTTGACTGAAAATATGATTGCACTCAGAAAGTCTCTGAAGTGCCTGACTCTTCCAGATCAGCCTTTTCCTGTTGAAAAACAAACAAAAAAACTCATGTTTTAGGTTCAGTCTGAGGAGGATAAGAGAATTCTGTAATCTCAAACAGATCTTGGAGGTCAGATAGCAAATAAATATTTTGCCACATATGTGGAATTTGAGATGGGGCAGCAAAGCGACTCACTCATTGTCATACAGCAAGGTACTCAGAGCTAAGATAGGACATCACATCTGCTCACTTTCATTCATGGCTGTGATCTGTCATGCTGACTTTTATAAAGAAATAAGCTAAATCTTAAGATGTAGCACCTGTCAGTCATCTATCTATTCAAACACATTTTATCAAACATCTACCAGTGTGCTTGGGTACTGTGACAAGTGAGCAATTTAGACAAAGCTCTCTCTTAAGGCTTGAGTCTAGAAAAAGAGTTAGCACATTGTTTCATAATGGAGTGGAAGATGGTCCTGGAGAACTGCAACCAGGACTACCATATAAAAAAAGTAGAGAACTTAGTGAATGTCTCTAGCCATTGGCTAGACAAAATCAGCATCCTTGAGGAAATCCATGTTGAGCTGAGTGGTGATGAGCAAATGGAGTTTGATTAAGTGAGGAGGAAGTTTCTGTCCTTCTAAGGAAAGAGCATGAGCTAGGCCAAGCATACACCAGAGTTCTAGCACGGACAGGTGATGGGGTGCTGGGAGAGGGGAGATCAATGAGCATGGTCTGTAGTGAGAAAAGACTGGGATGACTGAAGCCCAGACCATATAGAACCTATAAACATGTGGCTTCATTATGTGAGCACTCAGCAGGGAGGGATTATTTTTATGTAGGATTAGCCATGGTAAGTATGTCCCTTCCAGCTTTCTGCATGCAGAATGGCAGGTATAAGTCCCTCATACTCATGGTCCATTGTTAAAAGCTGATAGTTTGTTTCTTAAATTCAAGCCAATAGCCTCTATCTTATATTAATGTTCTTAAGCCATTTACATTTAATGAAATTCTTATATAATTGGGTTATAGCAAATGGGTTCATTACAAAGAAAGAATGCTTTATCATGAAAAGAACACTAGACATGGAGTCTAAGATCCTAGGCTTATTTTAAGTTTAATTCTTCCTAGCTTTGAGGCTTAGACAGTCATTTAATTGTCCCACTTCAACTTATTAACTCACAGGTTGGTTATAATATCCCAGGCATGGGAGTACAAAAATTAATGAGTTTAAAAGCTCTATATCTTCTCTAAATATTTTATAGTTTCTACGGTCTGGGAGAATATTGTGGTTAAATGGTTCCTAAAAATAACTAAATTTGTAGTACTGTTCTGTCCTGTATCTGATGGTGACAAACAAAACAATCTTTGGGTAAACTCTTTTCTATGTGATGTTTTTCTTACAATACTTGCCCTGATCCTGTGGTTGTTACTTACAGTTCTCTTGTCAGAATGGGTTCTTAATAAAAGTGGGGAACACACAAACACACACACACACACACACACACACACACACACACACACACACACACACCATATTCTAGTGTTATGCAGAGTTCCTAGAACACAATGAATACAACTGAGTCACATTCTAAAAACCTAGTGCTGGAGCTGAGTGTCCTAGCTGAGTGTCTCTCAGCCTCCACCATTTAGACAATCTCTTGCAATCTTGCTCCAGGGCTGAATAGTGATCGCATTTGACAATACTTGAACACTCAACACCTCAGAAAGTCCTGGCTCCACAGCTAGCATTCTGGGTAATGAAAAATGTTTTTTGAAGCAGTTACAAAGGTTGGCCGCTCAGTGGCTGTCCACTACAGACTGTCAATTGTCCTGCCAGGTTGCGTGACTTCGTGTGACTGGTCTCCAGGCTCTACAGATTGATACATCTGCATGTGACTGCTCAGCATTCCTGTGACATTACTCCCATCGCACTCCAGATGGAACATGGGGAGAGAATTAAGGGGTTTTGCAAACTTTCAGAGAACTTTGTCTTGTATCCCCTTTCACAGGACCGCCTCTCTTGCTCGGTAGAACTGCGAGGTTCTTGTCTCCGTCTTTAATGGGGTTCTGGGGTTTCACAGTGTGACCCAGTTTGGTGACGTTCACCCTTGCCTTCCACTTCGGAGTCCACTCTCTGCCCCAGAAAAGACTCCTGGTTAAGAACACATAAATCCTCTTAGGAAGACAACCTTCACCCACTTACTGCAACTTAATGACCCAGTTTTCCAGGTGCTTCAGGCACATGGCGGTCTAATCCATCCATCCCCTGTCCCTGTGTCTGTTCTGACTTTCAACACATACCGTCAGGAATCGACTATGTCCTACTTCTAAACTGTTTTGCTTCCACTTTGCTGTAATTTACAGATTGCAGCCTCCCCAATCTTAAAATTATTTGTCTTACCAAATGAGGCTTTTGGGGAGGCATCTGCCAACTCCTCACTCACCTCCACTCACGCCCGCCTCAAGCCTTCTGACTCAGACCCTGTGGCATGGTGCGAACTGGCCTGAGAATCGAGACCCAACAACGCTACAGACACAGCTTTGGACACTCAGATTTCCTTTGCAAAAACCCTCCAAGATGGTCTCCAGAAATGAACAGTTTTTTTTGGAAATCCTAGACCATTTCTGTGGGAATCTACGTGCCACAGCCGACTATGAGTGTATTCAAGGAGGCTGAGGCCATGGGAAGCTAGGAAGGGTCATATGAAATATTTTGAAATTATAATCATGGTCACAAGTATCAATAACAGGTATTTAAGAACAGATAATAAGTGTAGGGCCTGGGCTGGCTTGCTGAAGGACTCAGCCTTGCATGAATACCCTCTATATAATTTTGTGGTAACTTTGATGCAAGGCTGTGATCACAACAGTGTCTTTTGTGACTAGTTCTTATCATTAGGTGTACAGTCAGGGTATCGGACCATTTACAGCTCCCTGACTTTCTTAGTATGTTTTGGTGATAGCCACAGTGACTCCATTTTGGCTCTGGCAAACTTCACAGGGGGGTGTTAAATGTAGAGAAAACAGAATCTGTTTCAGATCCTAGTGAAAACGTTGTGGACCACACAGTAAGTAAGGTCTGGTGTGTGTTGAGACCTAAGAGCCTGGCTTGCGAGGAGTCTGGGGGAACTTTGGACCACAGGACCTAATCATGTGTCCTGCTTTGCACTCTTCTTAGCTTCCTCCTGGTGGGTGACTTGGAGATACTTTGAGTATCTGTGCTGCAGAATGTTTTTGAAAAACTACATCTAGTGTGGGACGGGGGGTTATTTCACTCTTTCCAGGAGCCCGACTCTACTTTGTGCCTCACGGGGAATAGGAAAGGAAGGGCATGGGAGACATTCAGGGCTCAGCATGTTGAAGTGCTTAGAAGTCAGAGAGAAGGCTGTGTCTTCTTTGACTCTTTCTTCCTGACATGGTTGGCAATTAGACAAAATCTGAGTGCTTTAAGAATGTCTTGGTTAATGTCAGGGGTACAGCTACCACTCCTTCAGTCTTCACATCCTCCCCGACAGTCAGAGGCACGCATGCCTGGCCTCTGATGTGAGTGCTTGGGATCTGAACACAGATCCTTATGTTTTCAGGGCACATGCTCTTCTTACCTACTGAGACAGCTCCCCAGCCCTTTATTTTTTATTTTAATTAGTTAATTTACTTAAGTAGGGTTTACTCTGTAGCCCTCAGGCTGGCCTTGGCCTTACTATCCTCCAGCTTCAATGTCTCATGTGCTGAGACTACAGCTGTGAAACACTACTTTTCAGTTTTCCTTTTTTAGATTTATCTTATGTATGCGTGTGCAAGTGCTGTGTGTGTGTGTGTGTACAGGTGTCCCTGGAAACCAAAAGGCATTGGCTGCCATGGAGTTGGAGTTGTGCAGAGTCTCTGTGTGGTCAAGGACACAGCCAAGCATGGTGACACAAGCCTTTAATCCCAGTACCAACCATAGAGACCTGGAGGTCTGTGTAGACAGGCAGTGACAAGGAAGTCATGTGGCTGGGCTTAGAGCCAATGAGAAGGCAGAACAGGAAAGCAATAAAAACACAAGTCCAACAGGAAGAAGCTCTCTCTGGGGAAGCGATGGCGGTGAGGTAGTAAGATAAGGTAGTCGTGGCTCTCTGATCTCTTTGGCTATTACCTCTGTAAAAAAAAAAAAGTCTTGGTTAAAGCAAGGAGAGAGGATTTTCCTGTCCCAGAGAGACATGTTGTCACATGGAAGCAATTCCCTAAAGGGCAGAACTCCAGACTTCTGCTCCACTCTCCCATGACATGGCTTCTTCATCCATCTAAAGAAGCAGCTTTAGAAAGTGGGCATTATCCCTGGGTTTCACTTTTTATTTAAAGATGCTGGCCAGTTTCAGCCCAGCCCCGAAGAGGACAGTCTTTGTCCCATTATTCCATGTTTATCATCCTATCGATGTACAGGGTCCAGGTCATTAACACTCACCACCACAAACTAGATACAACACCACATACAACTAGAACATTAACATCATTGTTCTTGACCACTGAGGGTACCTGTCTCTCTCTGCCCTGCCAATCTCCAGATTGCCCAGCACTTGGTTCTGAGACTTTGTTTTCTGCATCTGGACAGTTTTGTGCAGAAGCCCATGGCATCCCTCAACCTTGTGAAAATATAGGGTAACTATCACTGGGCTTAAGGCTTAGATTCCCCTCTTCGATATTAGACACAGTTTCTTATGGAATGGGAGTATAGTTTCTAATAACAAGATATTCATCTTGCACTTCTCTCACACCCATGGTGGAGAGAAAGCTGTATCATTCATGGTTATCAGCTGTATGCAAATATGTCACATCCTATGTCGGACTAGATGTGGAAGGACAAAGTAAGGGCTTCCTTAAGGTTTGTCCTTGCCCAGTATCTCCAATGTGGGTGTCCTGGAACTGTGACATACTCTCTCTGAACCTGTTCACTATAGTTTTATGAAATAAAATATTTATTTTTGTTGCCACCTGCAGAGGAAGAAATGCAAATTCAGTCTCAGGAGGTCTCCACATACTCAGAGCTCTCTGCATACCCCTAATTCTCAAGGACATAGAAATAGTACGTGGTGGATTCATGGCCTGAGCCCTGGGAATTCCACAGGCACAACACTTTATACAGAGGACTTTTGAAAGCTTTGAAGATGAATGAATGGTCTATGCCATGAGTGGGGTGACTTATTAATGCATTTGTAAAGATAGGTTATATAGACCTCAACCACAGGCAACATAGGATAATATGTAATTAAGTACTTAAGTAGATCGGGGATTCTGGAATGATGTTCCGAGAAGACTTTGTGAGCCAGCTTAATCCTATTATCTTCACATAATCCACGATCAGACTGGGGATTTGAAGTATCAAATATTTCCAAGGCCACAGAGCTGCTACCAGACTCAAAGCCAGTACACAATGCTGGGTTATCTTAACACTAATCCGTTATTCATTTTCATGTATCCCCCTGCATTGGTGGCTTCTCAAAATCAAAATCTAATTAGTGTTTTATCTTTTAAAATAGTGTAGATATATTTTTTGTACAATCTATATCAAGCATATGCATTTTAATCAAAGCAAGAAAAGCAAACTTATTTATGAGAATAGAAGTTGTCCTTGGCCTTAAATCGTGCAGCAATGTCTCGATGCATCTGTAAGCCTCAACTTTTACCAAAAATTTGTGATGTCAGTCTGAGCCATGATTTACTAATGAACATATGTTATTAGTGGGGTAATTTGGTTAAGTGAATACTGAGCCAAATTATCTGGAACTTATAACACTGATAACAGTTTTATGGAGAACTACTTCAAAATTATACTCTTATAAAGTCCACACATTAATAATGCACCACAAGGACATACAAATTATGTAAGAGCCATATTCCTTTGGCTTTGCAAACGTTGGCTAATGTGATGTTGCAGCAGCAGCAGAAGGTATAAGGTGTGTTATTAAAACATGCTGGCATTCATCAAAGTCACCATGGACAGGGTGACACAGAGAGAGTAAAGATAGATGAGATTTGTTCCTTTTCAAATGGGAAAAGTAAAGAAAAAATAACCTACGTATGGAGAGCAGCAGAGATGAGTTCCAAATAGGAACTAGAAAAGGCTGGTGCCATCTGTCATTATCCAGTATATTGTGTTGCACTGAAATGATTGTGAGCATTAAAGGCACATGTTGTTCTTTTTCCTCCCTGGTGTCATTTCTTTGGAGATTCTGGAGCATCCAAAGTCGAAGTCGGAGCTAACTGGTGTTGATACAATGTTAATAAAATGAATTTAAGAGCAACAAGTTTTCCCCTGTAAACAATGAAAGCAAGCCTTTACTAGCAAACCCAAGTCTTCACCGGCATCCCTTTTGTTCTTACTCAGCCAGACACCCTGCTCTGGCCTCCAGACTCTTGCAGCTCTGGGGGCAAATGACAGCATCTAGACCAGTGTGCTTGTCAGAAGAAGTGGAGAAAGCCATTTTCAAGTATAACTTCTGCCTTCCTGCTAAGTCATCTGAGTTTGCTCTCTCCTCTGGCAGCTGACTAGGTAGGAATACCAGAGTTTGGGATTATGGGCACTAGATGAGAGGATCCTGGGTTTCTGGGTGAAGTATTACATCCAAATGATTAATACCACTACTGATCTGGAGAGCTGACACTATTGAGAGAAAGGGGAGAAAGAAAGATGGAGGGGGGAGCCCCAGACGAGGGGACAGGGTGGGGGAAAGAAAATAGACTATTATGAGAGGCCAATGAGATTGAAGGATTACTAGGTAAGACAATTTATCGACTCTGGTTGATACTACTTCCTTGGTGAGGTGTCAGGCACCCCTGTGACTTACTGGCCATTTCCACTGTCTTCCTTCCTGTTTTACTTAGAATCCTTTCGTCTTGGGCAGCACCATCTCCCTTAGAAATACCAGGAAACGTTATCTTCTGCATCTGCTTCCATCTGCAGGGAAGCTGCTCGAACTCATCGAAACAAACCACAGACAGAGCACCCTGCTGGGGAGCCCCTTCACCTCTGGTCCCCACCATATGCCTCTCCTCCTGGTCACAGCTGAGCTTCTCTAAACATTTATCCACTCTTCATTGTCTCGATTCCATTAACTTCTAGGCCCACTGCCATGAGCCTTGACACGCTGCTACCCTGACATGGAATTTCTCCTACTCAGAGTCGCTGGCCTCTCAGTCCTCCCTCCCTCGCTCCTCCTTTCCTTTCTTCCTTCTCTTTCATCTCTATTTATATCCATCCATCCTTCAATCATCATCTGCCATGTGTGCTGTCTATCATCTATCAATATCTATCAGCCATCTAATCTATTATCTATCTAAACTGACATTTATGAATTATCTATTAGAATACTTGGATAAATATAGCAGTCATTAATTTTTTGCAGCATTTGACCTTGTCAAACTTTCTGTCTTGTGAACTGAGAAGACACTCCACACATACACACACACACAACAACAACAACATCATCAAAAAACCCTTCCCTCTTCCTTAATAATACTCTATCCCTGGCCTCTATGACAACACATTGTCCAGGTCCTTTAGATCTACCAAGCCTCCTATCCCCCCCTTTTTTCTAGTATTTCTTTCCTTTTTCTGTCTTCCAAAGGCTAGCCTTCCAATCTAGACTACTGCTGTTAATGTTTTACAACATCAAAAAGATGCTGTTTGAACTATATTATTTTAGTTAGAAGGATTGCAGATATTTCTCTACACTCATCTAATTTCTTCATGAACTGTCTGTGCTTTGGAAATCCTTTTGTTCAAGCGCTCCTGGTACATTACAAACATCTGCTATAAATAAATTTGCCCGGTCATCATTTTTCTTTAAACTTGTTTGTTGATATTAAGACAGATACATATGACAAGCCATTCTTTTAGGAGGTGTTTCTAGCTGTGCCAAGAGATAAATTTACCTTTCCCATCTTCAAAACTGTGAGTGCATTCACAAAGGTTTTCAGTGGTGATTTGAAGGTGAGGTTTTCCCATTATTATTTTGCTCCATACAGAATTTATTATCTCAAGAATGAGAAGGGCTGCAGGGACTTCATTGAGCCTCACTTACTTGAGGGATGACGTCATGAAGTGACAGAAGCTAGATTAGGGTGATATTGTCCTCCTGTCAAGAGATGCCTGGAGCTTCCAGAATCTGAAGGAGGCAGGAAGTGTTGTCCTGCACAGACTTCAGAGCGAGCAGGTCATGCCCACACTCATGATGCCTCACAGTGGCAGCATGGGGAAGCTGGTCCAGCCCTCCCCGCTCGGGCTGCTTTCCCTTCCTTGCGTCATCCCGCTCCCTCTCAGTGTTGTCTGCCTCTCTGATCCATTGCTTTTCCACATCTGATTTTCAAGCTAACCAAGCGGGCACCATCCTAGCGACGGGATCCATGGCTGTTTCTGTTGCCTTTCTGTTCTCACTGCTAGTGCAATTCCTATGACAAAGACGAAGTTGCCAACCTGAAGGTCCTATGGGGAAAAGCCTCTCACGGGTTGGTCACTGAAGCCCATTTTTACCTGTGGTTCTCTGGAAACTTTTCAGACTGGCTGATAGCTCAGAGGGCAATATGAATCTTAGTGCAGCTTTACAAAAGGTGACACAAGGCTGTTGGTCCCCCTACGAGATTGTCACAAGGCACATCATACAATCCTTCAACCAAGTGAGTGGTGCCTGCTCCCAGGAGCAGTCCGGCCCTGCTGCCACAGAGATAAGGCCACCCTGACACCAGCGAGGTGTCCCTCTGCTGCTCTGCTTGGGACCCAGCTCTCCCTGGAGGTTTTTGCACAGCAGTGCTTCCAAGCACAAAGACAGGGAGAGTCTTTGGCTGCAATCTTTGGAATATATAACCTACTGCATAGCTGTGTGTCACACCACCCAGATGATGAATTTAGCCTGCCTTCCCCTCATGGGCGTCAGGCAACACCCTCCTTCCCTTAGAAGCAGAGAACCACCATCTGCCTCATCTGGACAGAAGCTGCTCCACAGCAGTGACTGGAGTGGATGGAGACACAGTGGATTGGTTGTCACATGGGTGAATGGATGTGGAAAGCAAATATAAAACAAATGTCATAATGAGCATCCGTGGTGAAATTCTAACCATTAGGGGGTAAGTGATTTTCTTTATTACTCCCAAACCAGTTGGTTGATCTTTTGAAATCCATCTGCATTAGGACTTTGGAAATCTTCACGTGTATACAAACGACGATGTTTTTCACTATAGAAGACCGTTAGGGACTTGGGCTTCTCACTCGCAATAAACCAGAGCTGAGTGGTGAGAGTCGGTGCTGGGGTTTGGATGTGAACTCTTGCCCACACACTCGTCTGTTGGGACACTTGATCTCTAGCTCGTGGTGCTGTTTGGGGAGGACATGAGGCATTCAAAAAGTGGGGTTTCTCTTGAGGAAGTTACTGGGTTACTGGAGGACGGGGCGCCTCATACAGCTGGCTATCACCTGCCACAGTTCCAACTGAACGCTGCCTGCTTTCTGCTTTGTTGAGACATACACAAGCTACCACACACACACATCTCCTGGCAGGGTGCTGCTCCCCATCATGGCTTCCCTGCCATGACGACTGTGTCACCTCCGCCCCAAACTCTGTGCCCAGATAAACCCCTCCTCCGTTAATTAATTCTGGAATGTATTTTATCACCATGGTGAGAAAAGTAACTAACAGAATTAAGAAAGAGAGTATCAATCTAAATGAATAAATTTTAACAATAAACATCGCCAGTGGACAAATATAGTTTTCTACCTTTTCAGCAGATGAGAACTTACTAACAAAGAATTACATGTTCAAATTTAGAGACTTTAATGACCAAAAGAGCCACTGTGTCTTAGTATCTCACCTGCACATGAACAGCAGCTTTTCAGGGCTTGGTCACAGAAAGATCTGCCCATGCAACTCCCATCAGAAACCACATTTGTTTATCTTAGGAGCATGCTTACCACAGTCTGGGAATATGATAGGTCCTTAACATCTAAGCACTGTCGGTCTTCAATCTGAACAAAGAACCTAAGGAAAACTAAGGATGCTGAGAGTAGAAGAAAGTGTCTTCCCCAGGGAAGAGCACACTTACTGGATATCTAATACCAAGTGGTCAGCCCTAAAATCATATACATGTAAGTAACTTTAAGACTAAGCAGGTTATAGTATATACTTAGGAATAACACACACACACAATCAAGTAAAGGAATAGAAGCATGAATTAGAGGGAGGAAGGATGCACGGGAAGAGTTAGAGGAAGGAAAGGGAATGGGGGTCTGAGGCTTGAGGGGGTGGGTGGTTCCGGGTGTTTGAACACCACAGCGCATGACACATTTCTATGCTGGAAAGAAGAAGAAGAAGCATTCATGGGTAAATATCTACAAGTTACAGCCACTTGACAAGCCACCCTAAGGCATAGACACCTACTGGGAATGACTTTTGGTGGAGAGCATCTCAAGAGGGTCTCTCAGCAGACCGCCACAGTCGTCACCTCAAAGGCCAACTCTGTGCGGCTGCTATGCACAGGGCTCGGGGCCTCACTGCATAGTGCTCAGAGAAAGCAACCCTTCCCCTTGTGAGCTCACTACATGATCGTTTCTTCTCCTCTGGTGAGGAGAGAGAGAGCGCGTGAGTGCACCCACAACAAGTGAGGGGATGAAGTAACAAGTGAGGTCAAAAGAGCAAAGGGGAGAGAGAACTAGACGAAGAACAGAGAGGGAGCCACTCACCAAGGCAGAGGCCGCCGCAGCCTTCACGATCCCGTCTTTGATGTTGCATTGCTTCCGCCGTGTTAATATTCATCAGAAAAGGGAAGGGCGTCTTGCTAGACTCCAAGGAAGGGAGGCCACTTGAGACACAAATCCCACACCTGCAAGAGCCGCTACCAGCAGTTTCCTGACAGTGCTTGTGCCTACAAATGATGTTCCATCTGGGGATGAGATCCAGCAAACAGCTTGAGGTTCAGACAGGTACTAAGACATGGGTGCGGTAGTGTGAATGTAATTGGCCCCATGAATCTCATAGGGAGTGGCACGATTAGGAGGTGTGGCTTTGTTGGAGTGGGTATGGCCTTGTTGGAGGAAGTGTGTCACCATGGGGGGGTGGGCTTTGAGGTTTCCTATGCTCAGGATACCACCCAATGTGTCAGTCAACTTCCTGTTGCCTGCAAGATGTAGCTACTCTCCAGTACTGTGTTTGTCTGCACGCCACCATGCTTCCTGCCACGATGATGATGATGGACTAAACCTCTGAAACTATAAGCCACCCCCATTAAATGTTTTCCTTTAAAGAGTTGCCATGGTCATGGTGTCTCTTCACAGCAATAGACAAAGAGTGTCCTCAGACTTGCTATGATGGGATTTCTCCCAAGTCCAGAAAGAGCAACAGGCACTTCTGGCTCTACAACAATGGACTTGGGAAGAACTCGCCCTGACTCTTAGTCAAGCATCAGGAAAACAGCAAGTTGCCCCTACAGGGTTAGTGGACTGAGGCCACATCCCATCAAGCTCTGCCTTGGTTGGGAGTGGTGGGACTTGCCTGTAATCCTAGTGCTCAGGAGGCTGAGGCAGGAGGATTGCTGTGAGTTCAAGGACAGCTTAAGCTACACAGTGAAACCATGCCTCACAAACATCAAAGTAGACTAATTTAGGCTGGACCTCAATGCGAGTGAAGTCATAGGCAGGTATGCTGTTGAAGTTTCTCATTTGGGGTTCAGAAAATGACATTTCCAGGGTTTTCTGTAGTCTCCTGTTTCCCCCACTGTGAACTAGGTGCTGGATCCCATCACTATGCTCATGGCTGCCCTAGGGTACCACGAACTTATGCAACCCAGAATGGGCCTTGTGAGGATGGCTCTCCTGTTGCTGTGTCCCACTAGGCTCCAGTTCTCTCTTGCTCTGAGCATGAACTGTGTATTTCAGGCTAGAGAGGAAGCCCTTATGTGTCTGTGTGTTGGGCAAATTTGGTGACACTCCTTGAAATAGCAGTAAATAATCAGCAAGTAGGAATGAATTTCAAGCTCAAACTCACCTTCCCTGGAGGCAGTGGAAAGCTATGTGGAATTATTACATGGCTTAGAACAGAATCCTAGGTGCAGATGTTGAGTTCCTGGGCTGTGACTCTGCAGAGAATGGCCTGTCCATCACCAGTTTGGACTCCTTCTAGCTTTGTGCACACCCTCGGGTCCTCTGAGTGCTCCCAGGACAGCAGGACTGATCAGGCAGCTGCAGGCTTGCTGAGAGAAAGGCTGCAGACAAGTGGGCATGTACACTCCATAATGCCTTCATCCTTTCTTCCTAGAAGGTTGGGCGCTAGGCTTAAATATGCATGCCGATTCTTGTTCATCTCTTCCAGGGACTGGGCACAAGACTTGCAATCAGGGGAGAGGGAAATCCTCAGTGCTTGGCAGTTCATTGTCTGTTTTCAAGCATACCAGAGAGTACATGGTTTGTTCTTGGCACCAAAACCTAGTTACAGAAGATCAGCGAACTCATCTCCACAGTGTTAGAGTTTTCAGAAATCCTAACTCTAAATGCAACTCTTCCCGGATACTGTTCTGTCATCGTACTTGGCTTCCTGCCCATTATAAAACCTGTTTTCAGTGAATGTCATCTTGGTTCATCTCGGTTTCTGTTAAATGCTTCTCTGGTTTGATATGTTTGTTATAGAGATGGCATTTCTGCCTGGCTTAACTTCTGCAAAAAATATCTTCTACACACAGGTCATGAGACTACACCGCAGGAGGAGTGCGGTGCTTGAGAGCAGAGCACTGCACACCCAGCTCCTCTGCACACACTAACATACTCATGTACACACCATTTAACCAAGGATTTCTGGTTCTGGGATGAGAAATCTTTGAGTTCTCTCCAGTCCGTACATTCATAGACAGGCCCTGTGTCCCAGCCTCATACAGTGGTCTGCTTATTGTCACTTGGTTCAGCTGCATAGGAGGAAAACTGGATCCTTGATATCTACACAGAGGGCCCCAGTGGACCTGAGTTCTCCGTCGGCATTACTTTACATCCTTCCGAACCCTACTGTGTGTAGTATGCTTGCTCCATTGATGTGGCCATGCTTTCAGAAAATATGACATGTACGATTCTACTACATTACCACAGGGTGGCCTGAAAGAAACCTGCACATACAGCTCCAGCAGGCCCTGTGACGCAGTTGCCGATGGCCACAGTGGATTCACGTCACCGTGTGCTATCGGGCCACGGGGTATTGTCTTACCTTCCGTTAGGAGTTCCTCGAAGGAAGTCTTTGTCTGCAAAGAGCCTGGGTGTGACTCTTCCCTCTGGTCCCACCGTCTGAACAGCACGTCTCTGCCTGGGTAAAATCTTCCCTTTATTCACACTGATTTTCTGAATTCAAAAGAGCAGAAATCCAAATTCTTCCCTCTTTTCCCTTGCCAAGTCCCAAGCCAACTCTTACCTCATTTGAATGATAGAGTCCCCGGACCCTCTATTTACTCCTCAGTGATCTGCAGAGGCTTCCTCTCAGCCGGCAGCGCAATTGCAGGGTGGTACCCTGTGGCCTTGAACTTCTGTCCCGGCTCCAGCCCTCTTCCTGGGAGGCACATGCTGGCTGTGCAAACTTGAGATAATAAATAGTTCGATGTGATAGGGGTCGGGTTGGGGATCCCAAGTGGCCTTTCATTTCACAGACACAGATACTAGATTCTGGGGAGGCAAGAGCATCTAACTCAGACTCAGCCAGAGCATCAGCAATGACTTCATTTCCAGGTCCCTTCCAGGTCTTTCTGGACTCTAGCTTCCTTGATGTCGGCCATCTTTAATTAGCTATTAGTTTTATTTAGTGTGTATTCGGATATGTATGTTTACACGTGCCTATAGGTCCACATGTTCAGGGGTGGGTGTGTGTGTGTGTGTGTGTGTACATGTGAAGGCCAGAAGCTGACATCAGATGTCTTCCTCAGTCACCGTCCACCTTAATGTTTTTGAGGTAACAACTCACAGAGCCTGGTGCTCACCAATTCAGCTAAAATTCATGGCCAGTGAGCTCCATCCTGGCTTTTTTTGGTCTGAGCACAGAAATGGCATGTCATTCATTCAATTAGGGGTGGATTTACTTTGCTCCCACTCACCCTGTACTGGCTAGTTTTCATGTCAACTTGACACAGGCTTGAGTCATCTGGGAAGAGCAAACATCAGTTGAGGAAATGCAGCCACCAGGTTGGCCTGTATGTGCATGCCTATGAGACGTTTTTCTTAATTAGTGATTGAGGTGAGAGGAACCAGGCCATGGCTACTGCTGCCATTCCTGGCTGGTGGTCCTGGGGTCTAGAAGAAAACAAGATGACAAGCCATGGGGCATAAGCCAGTAAGCAGCACCCCCTCCCCATGACCTCTGCATTAGCTCATGCCTCCAGGTTCCTGCCCTGTTGAGTTCCCGCTCTGACTTCCTTCAAGGATGGACTGTGATGTGGAAATCTGAATGAGATAAACCCTTTCCTCCCCAAGTTGTTTTTGGTCATGGTGCTTCATCACAACAATAGAAACCCTAAGACCCATCCCATCCAAGTTGCTAGACTACTCCCTGCCCCCTTCCTTCCTGGTTATCTCTTTGCCTATCCATAGGAGCCATGGACTACTACAGTGTAGTGGGGTGCAGCAAGGGACCCAAGGCATAAAATATCCTGTCAACACAGAAGCAGAATAGGGGCTGCTGGGAAATTTTTATATCCCATCTAGTTTTTATTGTCTTTCTATTTGTGGTTTAATAGAAAATGGCCCCTATAGGGGGTGGCACTGTTAGGAGGTGTGGCCTTATTAGAGGAAGCGTGTCACTGTGGGGGTGGGCTTTGAGGCCTTATATGCTGAAGCAATGTCCAGTGCCTTAGACTACTTCCTGTTGCCTGTGAGTCAAGATGTGAGAACTCTCGGCTACCTCTCAAGCACCATGTCTGCCTGCATGCTATCATGCTTCCTGCCATGGTGATAATGTACTAAACTTCTGAACCATAAGCCAGCCCCAATTAAATGTTTTCCTTTATAAGAGTTGCCATGGTCATGGTGTCTCTTCACAGCAACAGAAACCCTAACTAAGACAGTATCTCTGCCTATTTATCACTCAGCTACCCCTTGCTTCTGTCTTTGGGTTATTTGAAATGACACAAAATTTCAGACAATGTAGAGGGATGGAGTAAGCTCACCTTCACGCTTAGCAGGAGGCCTCGATGCCAGCATCATAACCCTTCTTGGAACCCAGTGCTATTAGCTCCCAGTGATGTCGTGCAGCTGGTCTCCTTCAATGACTTGAGCTTTGAATGTCTCCTGGGATTTCTGGCAGATTGACAAGCATCATGTTCAGCTCCCATACACAGTACAGCATCCCTGTAATAAGACAGCACTGCTTACTGCATCAGATAATAGAGCCTAGGGAAGCAAGATGGCCACCATGTTTGGGGACTTCTTTGTTTCGTGTTGTTTTCAGACCTCTCTTGATGTTGTGGTTCTCAGCTAGAGGACTTCAAAGACTAAACATTGCTGCTCATGGTTCTGCCTTTATGCCATGGCTTCCTAAGCTTGAGCAAGAATGAGGTCGGCAAGATGGTGTTTGAGTGACCCACTCTAGTACTGAATAGTTGGCATGGCTGGGAGTCCTGGGTGAGGTCTATGCTCAGTACCTGAATGCTGAGCAGTCTCAGGTAAGCTGTGGTGCTTCTCCGTGCCTACTTTAATAGCTCTAAGAGCAGGACATTGAACTGAGTGATCTCTGATGAGGTACCTCTAAAGCAGCTATGCCCTTCTTGACAGAGACCTCCTAAAGAAGCCCTCCATGCTGCTCAACCTGCAAATCTCAAGATCTGGCCTCATAGCAGGTTCCCCATTCCTCGGTCTCACTCTTCTCTGTTGCGAAAGCTGAAAGGGCAAAAACAAAGACAATGAAATGGAGGTAAAGAGCCAATCAGTCACCAATTCCCTCACTCCATACACAGAAAATTATCACCAGCTGTTGCCCAATTAAATGCAACCATCAAGCAGGGCACGAGAGCTCACAGGAGACCACAGCATACACTGTGTGCCCAGCCAAGCCACTTGCATAAAGCCCAGAGGATGTCAGCATCAAAGCACACTTTCCAATAAGCTGGGTCTTTGTTTTTTTTTTTTTTTGTTTTTTTTTTTGTTTTTTTGCTAGAAGCATTTAAACAGAGACTTGGTAACCAGGAAGGGGGACCAGCTGTAAACTGTGTACCAAATCCCACACATGCTCTGCCTCAGGAATCTGCAGAAGGGAGTTTGAAGGAAGTTTTCATGACAAGTCACTAAAGCCTATCACAGGTTCTTAGTAGTGCACAGCTGGATGAGCAGGTGGATTTGGGATTGGTAGGTACATCCAACCACTCATCAGTTTACTGTGTGCCCTTCATCTGCCAGACAGAACTTCCAAGGATGTAAGTCAATGAGACAGGGTCCCCCCCATGAGAAGATTCAAAGTCCAGTGTGAATGAGAGGAGTGGAATTTATAACATTTTTAATGTAAAGCCTGCCTAGGTTTGTTTATTGGTTGTCATGGTAGCAGAGATAAGCAATTTAAAAAGAGAAGAAGACATTTGTCTCATGATTTCAGAGGTCTTAACCCATGGTTAGTTGGTCCTGGTGCTTTGTGAAGGGACCCACATACTGCAGGTGCTCCCCTCTGGACCCTGGATTAGGCATAGACCACACCCATACCCCAATTTTCAAGCACAAACCAAATGAAAAGAATCCTTTATTAAGCAAGGCAAAGAGACAAGGTGACTGAATCCAAATGGGACAGAAACAGGAGCGAATGGCCTTGTAAGTGTTAATCTTAAGAGGGAAAGGGGGAGGTCTATGTTAGAATGAGCCCAGACGTGTTGGCAAATTCTGATTGGGTATTTTAATTAGGTTAGTCAAATGACAGGTTTGGATAGTTGGACCTCAGTGATCAGTCCCAGGAATGAGTCAGTGTCCAAATAAAGGAATAGACCTTGGGGGCTAGTTGTAGCAAGGGGAGGAAGGGTAAAAGGCAAAACCTGTTGGCGCTATATTTGCCATAGTTGGGCTGGTGTTTGCCATGGTCCAGCCTCCTGGCCCTTCAGTTTGTGCCTGTGGTGGCAGAGGCCAGTTCCTCTCATGATGCCTGGAAACAAAGAGAAATAAGAAGTGTCTCAGGGTACCAATATCCCCTTTAAGTCATACCTCCCAGTGACCCAACTGCTACCACTAGGTCTCACTTTCTAATCGTTCCCCTTCCCAATGGTGCCTCAGGGTAGACATAAACACAATCTATAGCAGAAGGCTTTACGAGGACCTTGGGAGGAAAAAGCAAGTATCAAGGTGCCTGAGTGAGTCAAAGGGAGAGTCTGGAGGGGAAATGTACGACAACTGCCCACATCTAATAAATTTCTTTTTGTCTCCTTTATCGTCAGGATTCACCTTCCCTCCTCTTCCCCTTCTTGTATATTATGTTGAAGAAATTGCTTCCCAAAGTTATCTTGGAGTCATTGTCAAGGGAGGGGTGTTATTTCATATTGTCATCCAAGCTGTTGTTTTTGTGCTCCCCCCGGGGTGGCAAAAGTTCTTTTTTCTTAAATAATTATTCTGTCATTACTTGACCAGTTTCTTGTAGCAAGAGTATTCCTGTGTCCACCTGGCTCCTGTAGCCGCTCAGGACCAATTAAACACACAGAGACTTATATTACTTATAAACTATATGGCAATCATAGCAACATATTTTCACAGCATACAGGACATCAGACAGCAGTTTCTCCTTCCCTCTCCCCCACATCCACTCCTTCTCCATCTCCCTTTAGAAAAGAGAAAGCCTCCCAGGGATATCAACCTAAGCTGGCATAACAAGTTACAATAAAACTAAGCACATACAGCACCTGAAAGCTCTGGAACAGAAAGACGCAAGCTCACACAGGAGAAGTAGATGGCAGGAAATAATCAAACTCCAGGCTGAAATCAGTAAAATAAAAACAAAGAGAACAATACCAAGAATCAATGAAACACAGAGTTGGTTCTTTGAGAAAATCAACAAGATAGACAAACACTTATCCAACTAACCAAATGGCAGAGAAAAAATCCGAATCAACAAAATCACAAATGATAAAGGGGAACATAACAACAGACACTGAGGAAATCTAGAGAACCATTGGGTCAAACTTCAAAAACCTGTACTCAACAAAACTGGAAAATCTAAAAGAAATGGACAATTTTCTTGATAAGTAGCATATACCAAAATTAAATCAAGACCAGATAAACAATTTAAATGGAATTGCTTTGGGACCGAGTATGTGGTCATATTTGGAAAAGGTCCATGAGGTGCTGAGTTTTGAGTTATATTCTTTTGTGTTTGGGTGAAATGTTCTGCATTAGATCCATTTTGTTCATAACGTCTATTAGGTCCGTTATTTGTTTAGTTTTTGTTTGGATGACCTATTCATTGGTAAGAATGGGGTATTGAACTCTTCCACTATCAGTGTGTGAGGGTCAGTGTGTGATTCAAGCTTTAGTAACGCTTCTTTTACAAAGGTGGGTGACCTTGGCATAGATGTTAAAAATTGAAATGTCATCTTGGTGGATTTTTCCTTGGAGTATGAAATATCCTTCCCTATCACTTTTGATTAATTTTGGTTTAAAGACTATTTAAGATATTAGAATAGCTATACCAGCTTGTTTCTTGGGTCCATTTGCTTGGAAAGTCTTTTTCCAACCCAATACTCTGAGGTAATGTCTATCTTTGATGTTGAGGTATGTTCCTTGACTACAGGAGAAGGATGGATCTTGGTTTTGCATCCATTCTGTTAGCCTGTGTCTTTTTACTGGGCGATTGAGTCCATTGATTTTGAGAGGTATCAATGACCAATGATTGTTAATTCCTGTTATTTTGGTGGTGGTATGTGAACTTCTTTTGGTTTTGCTGGTGTGAGATTTTTATTTCCTACGTTTTCATGGGTGTAGTTAGCTTCATTGTGTTGGAGTTTTACTTCTAGCATCTTCTGTAGGGCTGGGTTTGTGGGTAGATATTGTTTAAATTTGATTTTTCATGGAATATCTTGTTTTCTCCATCTATGGAGGTGGAAAGTTTTTCTGAGTATAGTAGGCTGGGCTAGTATATGTGGTCTCTTAAGAGTCTGAAGAACATCCATCCAGGCCCTTCTGGCTTTTATGGTCTCCATTGAGAAATCAGGTATAATTCTAATAGGTCTGCCTTTTTATGGTACTTGGCCTTTTTCCCTTGCTGCTTTTAATATTCTTTCTTTGTTCTGTATGTTCAGTGTTTTGATTATTATGTGGCAAAGGGACATAAAAAATTGAAATATTTTAAATAGATTTTTATTATGTGTGTAACTCTGAAAATATTTCACATATTCTGTTTTAAAATATACACAGACAGTTTCTCTTTCCAGAACAAAGTCTGCGCACACATCCCACATGAAGACAGCTTCCAAGGAGGAGTGGAACGAAGACCCAGCATGGTTTGGGCTGCCTCCCTCATGAGGCCAGGCAGGTCGGGTGTCCTCGAGTTTGGGTTCTACAGCTCCACAGAGCTCTCAGTGAATGAAATGAGCTGGGAACTACTCTTGTATGGCACTCGGTACTTCCCAGAGAGCAAGGGCTCAGAGAAAACCAGCTACATTCAAGGGTTGCTTGTACCGCTGCACCCCCAGTCCCTCACACCCCAGAATCAGTGCTCTGATGGAAAGAGCCAGAACTTTCGTCAGAGCAATCAGGACTTGATCCTATTACTGACCACTGTTCTCTTAACTCTTAAATTTAGCTGTCTGGCTTTGCAGCTCATCCATCAGTAAATTAGCAGTAAGAATGCCTAACCTAGCTGGGTGTTACCACACACCTTTAATCCCAGTACTTGGGAGGAAGGGGCAGGTGGATCCCTGTGAGTTTGAGGGTAGCCTGGTCTACACAGCAAGTTCACATCGGCCAGTGCTATATAGTAAGACCACTTTTTTTTTAAAAGAAGCCTACTCATATAGGAAGTGGGCTATTAAGTCAGTCACATGACATAGAAATACATTCACATCATCTCCTCATAATCCCTATGGATTTTTTTTTTAATCTTTGTTTGTGGACTTGGAAGGATTGAGCTGGGACTAACCTGGAAGCCTCCTCTCTCTGACTAGCTCTCATAGCATCCGAAGGTGCTCCACAAGCTGCCTAGGGAGGAATGTAATCGATATTCCTGCCCAGCTGTGATGCACAGGAACTACAGTGGCTGGTCAGCAAGATGTGCCCAGAGGTGCAACAGTCACACTTATAGCTTGAGGGTAACCAATTGCTGTACAACTAGAATTAGACCCTTACACAGGAAGTACACCATAACTAATACTACAAACCTAGCCCACTCCCTATGGCTGGGGAGGCCATGGGACCCAATGGAGAACCCCCTACTGTCTTTTCCCTAACCTAGTCTAATTCCTGAGTGCCTTCTAAAAATGTGTCCTTATACCCACAGACAAGTGTAGCTGACATTCCTCCTCAAGGAATCTTCCATCAACCGCAGATGGACACTACTACAGAAATCCATAATTGGCCAGAAATAGAGAACTGACCTGGGATGCACAGCCTAAGGGATGCCTAATTGACACCTCTACAGCACAGCCCCTACGTGTAAAACTCAGGTCACATCACTGAAGGGGAAACAGTGATGCCAGAGGACCAGGATGTCTGCTGTGAGATAGCGTCTTCGGTTGATGACAGGGGGCTACAGCCATGAAATCCCAATAGTATGGTCTCCTAAGCATAACCCCCACAATGAGAATGCCAGTTGACATGCCAGTGTAGATGGAGGAAACCTCACGGGGCCCCATCCCTAGATGAAGGGCTACAGATAATCAGTCCTTCCCAGGGACAAGGACCATATATATGTATATTATATGTGTATATTCATATATGTGTATACATAGGCATATAATATATATATATATATATATTATATGACTCGTATTTTGAAGGGAGTTGGGAGCATAGGAGGACTTTCAGGGGGAGAGGGAGAAATGATGTCAATATCGTACAAATGTAGGAGATTCTTTAAAAAAAAAAATTGGTTTTGTTCATGGAGTAACCCCCGCCAGCCCATGCTTGGGGAAGCATCTCCCTAAACAGTGGCTGACCTGGAGATGTCAGTATCTGCGGGCATGTGCAGGAAGTTGCATGATTCTGTTCTGGTTGACTCAGCTTCCCTTTGGCAGGGATGCTCACTAGGCATGTGTGTGCAGTCTTTGGCCTTCCCTAGCCCATACAGCATGAAGAATCAACTCCTTGTGCAGCCCTCATGGTGCCCTGCCCAGCCTCAAGGCCCCGGGCTGCCCTACATCTTGCAGCCACATTCCTTCATCGTCTTCCCCCTTCCTTCTTCATCGTATGGGGGTTCACATCCAGCCAATTCTGTGGAAGGAGATAAGGCACTCGGAACACATTCCCTCCGTGTCCCACGGCCTTCTCCTTCTGATCTAGTCATCCCTAGAAAATTTCACTGAGAAAACATGAGACTTCCTTAACTCGGTGTGACGGTCTTCAGTTGCAGCCCGTTCCCTGCCAACATGACTTCATTCCTCTGTGTGACCAAGAAGCCCACCACTGTGAATACATCCCCCACTTCCTTTATCCATTCCTTCCTCTTGTGTTGGGCACATGAAGGAGAGCCTCCCTCTGCCTGGAAGGCCCTTCCTCTGTGCAGTGAACCCTCATTCTACGTGTCAGTTTCTTGCCCAGCATGTGTGTTTTCACACTGCTCTGAATAATAAAAATCTCGGGCTTATGTAAGCTCACTGCTGTCTTCCTCTCTCCTAAAAATGTCAGGCCTTCACTGTGACTTTGAACCCCACTCTACGTTACTGGAAGTGTCACCTCCCTCCATGAAGGCAGGGTCTGAAACACTGACTTCCAAAAGGACCAGATCTGTTTAATTCAAAACTCTGACCTAGGATCCAGGCATCTGTATTTTCAGTCGCGTGCTCAATGCCTCTGTGACTTATTTCCGAGCTTCATAAAGACCAGAGCAGTCACATGATGCAGATATTCAGGAGCAATTAAATATATTCATGTACAGTGAATAATATATAATCCCAGCACTCAGGAGGGAGAAGTGGCAGGTGATTCTCCATGACTTTGCGGTCAGTCAGGTCTACATCATCTCAAAATGATAACTAAAGCATGTTTTTTAGGGGGCAAAAAGAATGTCTCAAGACACTGAGCACAGGGCTCAGCTGATGACAGATACCAGGCATGTCTGAATTAATACAACAGAGGAACACTGAGCCTTACATAAACCTGGTCCAGTCCTAGCTGGATATCCTAGCTCTTGTCCAGACCTGTCCCTTCTCAGGAGCCCTTGAATTAATTGAGACTTGCTGGAGGCCTTGAATCTCAATGCAGTGTGGCTTGGCTGATACACTAGTCTGCTGAGAATTTCTCCTCCACAAACAGCACACGTCCCAGGATGAACCTGGGGAACTGACAGTAAGATGGATAGCTTGGGCTTCTCAAAGCCAGTCACTGCTGCTGGCACTTCCAAGACACCTGCCAGAGATAACACAGGCCTCCCACTTCGACCTAGCCACCACTCTGCAAAAGCAAAGGGCTGCTGACCACCGGACATGCAAACTGAAGTTGGGGGCCATCTCAGGACACCTTTGTCTCTTGTCCATATTTATCCTGTCAGACCTAACATTAGCAACTTACAACCACTGCCTCTGCTTTTGGAGTTTAATTGGTAGACATACCTTTCTATTTAAAAGAAAATGTTTTTGCCTGATGTTTTGTAGTTATTGTTGATTTGAGGTTTGTTTGAGAGAGAGTGTCACTCTGTATTCCAACATGGCCTCCAGCTCACTCCTTATGTATCCCAAGCTGGCTTCAGACTCCCTGGTGCTGGGATTACAAAACTAAGCCACCATGACCACATAAAATTCTTCTTCAAATTGTTTTAAATGGCACATAATTTGGGGTGGAGGGGAGGCTATCTGAGGAGTGATATAATAATCCAAACATTGCACATGTAGTGATTAAACACATAAGTAGCATTTCCACCTCCTCGGGCATCGTTTTTACAAGCTGGGAAGCTTCGGTCTCCCTTCAAGTGACTTTGAAAGGAATCTTGAGTTATAGACTGTAGGTGCCTACCTGTGCTACAGAATATCCCAGAATGCATTCCTCCTGTGTCCAGCCTCTCTCAAGCCTCTTCCTTTCACCTTCTCTGCCTCTGGAGAGACCGCTCCTCCCCTGTGTGAGATCCTCAGTATTGTTTATGGGTGCCGCTCTTGGGATTCTTGTCTTCATGCTGGTCAAGTCTTCAAATGGAAAACAGATTCCTAGTGGGAACCAATCTAGGGAGCTAGTCTCATGCACCCCCAGCCTCGCCTACACTGGCCACAGATAGGAACCTTTACCTTTTAACTCCTCTGCCTGAAGAATGCACTTTGAAGAACAAGGTCACAGGCACCATAACAGAGGCCTCTGACTGATCCTATACCAAAGATCCTAGACTGGGTGTCCGGGGTCTCTGTGTACTTTGGGGTGGTATTTCACTTGAAAAAAAAAATTAAAAGCCACTTACCACTCCTTGTTCCCATAGCCGAGGACTAGTTCAGCCGCAGGCAGGGGCAGCTTGTCTACCCTTCTCTGGTTGCCATGCTGAACTGAACCCAGTAAGCCCCTAATCCCACCATCTTTGAACTGCCCTTGGTGGGTTTTCCTTTTTGGGAATCCATAATGGTTAGACATTTACCTGAGAACATCTCCTTGCCAACCCCGGGCAAGAGCTGAACAAGAAGCATTACCGTTAATGTGCCACATGATGTTTTAGTCACTCGCTTTGCATCTAGCATGTGTGGGTTGCCACCACAATCCTGGGGTGAGCACCCTAGAGGGTGGCTGCATTTGTTACTTTTGTTTAAACCATGACCAAACTCCTGACAGAAACAAGGAAGGGAAGATGTTGGCCCCTAGATCCAGGGGATCTGGTCCGTCATGGCAGGGAAGGAATGATAGCAGGTGGTAGGGTCATAAGGCAGCTGGCTGCTTGATGGGTGGTGGTGACCTGGAGGCAGAAAGTAGAGTTGGCCTATAAACCACAAGCTCCACCCTCAGTCACACACGTCCCCTAGCAAGGCTTCACCTCCTAAGGGTTAAACAGCTTCCCAAAACCATCACCATTTGTTGAAAACCTGGTGTTCATGTGAACCTGTGGGACTCCTGGTTCCCACTTGAATTGTAACAATGGAATTTAAATACAGGTTCTCTAATCACAGATGGATGCTGAGCCCTTCCATGAGCAGTGATGGCAGTGGGCCAGGGCTCGGTTTAAGTGGCTCTCTAGCAGGCATAAGACACAGGACAGAGGCGAGTCACCAGGGCCATCCCTGGCTATTAGTTCTCTTCACAGAACTATATCTAATCAAAACCACACGAGTGTATCCTGTTTCCCTCACAACACTATTTGAGTGATATTCAATAGGTTACCATGAGTATTTAAACCTCAATTTCTGAAACCCAAAGTGCCACAATCACATTGTATGCTGTGTTGATAGGTGGAAACACGGAGCCCAGGAGGGAAGGTGCCAAGAATTTGCCCCCTGGGGCGTGGGATGATCCTTTGACCCAGGATGTAGACTCAAACGAGCCCTGACCCACCCTGTCAACTTCTGAGACAGATGCATTTAAAAAGCAGCTATCAATAAACCTTGGAATAGCTATTCCTTTGTGAGCAGAATTCAAAGTAGGACAGTTGTGTAGGTATGGGTCTGGAGGAGGACAGGGTAAGGATGAGAACGCTAGCCACAGCAGCATGGAGCTCGATTCCTGAGAGAAAACATCAGAGACTCTAGAGCACAGAAGGAAAGGACTTGGCAGAGCTGTTGGAGACGGGAGGTGCTGCATGAGCTTGGACCAGGAGAGAGAGGATGGAAGAGCCACCAGTGGGGCCACACCAATCACTCTGTGGACTTGGCCACACTCCCAGTCCACAGTGTGACATGTTTCTCCCATGCAAATGAGGGATGACTCGCCATAGACACAGGACTGATGCACACTCCCAAGGGCACTCCCCAGTCCCCATCAGGTCCTCCTTGCTTTCTCATACCTATGAGCTTCCTTCTCACCTAGCACAGACGCCATAGATCACAGCTCATCCTGTCAGGAATCCTAGCCAGTGCGTCCATGATCCGGCTCCCTTTTCAGCACATGACCCCTTGAGGTCAGCCTGGAGCCTCCCACGGCACCCTAACCACCTCATAGCATTGTTCCTCCAGTGTGTGAAACACAGATTGTGAACCTGCCTGGCATACTCAGCCTCCAAACCTAGTCGGTAGAAGAAATAAATCTGATTACAGCTGAAAGCAGTTATGTGGGAGTACTTTGGGTTAGCCCCATCAAAGGCCTCTCGGACAGCGCCTCCTCCTGTTGAGTTCTGTACTTCCAAAGTGCATCAAGAATGCCCTTCGTTCTAGCACTTTGCTAGACACCGTCTGCTCTCCCCCTCCACATGCGTATTTATTTAAAGCTAGCTGTATCTGAAGAGGGGTGCTGTTTGTAAGGCGGAAGCAGGAGGAAAAGCTGACCCTAGCCCTGTATTTGCTTACCGATGTTAACAGACAGGCATAAGCACCTCCATGTAGGCAATGCTCTAGGCAGGGCCATTCATTTCTCACTTTGAATGGCACCAGAGAGATACAGATTCCCAACAAGTCTGCCATCCTAGCAGTTTCCCTAGGACTTTGTGGTTTTAATTATTTACTGAATTTTTTTTTTTCAATTACAAAACATTCTACAGAACGGTGCCATCCGGAAAGCCCATTGGCCAGACCACTCCTTGTTGGGAACTCCCTTTGAGATGACCTTGGTCTCATCCAACGACCTTTCATTGCAGCATCTTCCAGCAAATGCCTCAGGAGCCCGCCCAGAGCAACAAACCCGAGACCCTCAGAGACACACGGTATCTCAGACACAAGGAGGGCAGCTGGGGCCTGAGGTATTCGCAGCACCCTACTGGAGTCCCTGTGGGCTGAAATAAATGCCCCTGCCATTTGTTTACTGTCTCTAGACAGTGAGGAACATTCAGATAAATGAAGTCGGCGCCTGTAAGATTTATGATGCCCTTCTGTGCTTCGTAATGTTTAATCAGGAAGTCAGCACATTATAGTGTAAAATCCTTTACACGCATGTACAAACTGAGGGCTGCCATTAGCGCTCTGACAGGCTCAGGGGTCAAGAGGCACCCCAGACTCTAGAGCTCCAAAGGTAATTGGGGGGGGGGGGGAAGCCACACGTGGCTGCAAACAACACTGGTGAAGACTGGAACCCGCGCCTGCCCCCGCGCCCGCGCCCAGCCCCCTTGTTTCTTTCTATTCACTTTTTCCTCCCCTCCTTCAGTTTCTCATTTGGGACAGGCAAAGTGCTGAGCAGTCACACAGCGCACATACTGTGCTCCTCCGTATCTGGGACCCACCAGAGCGCGAGGGATTAGAGGAAGGTAAAACAGGGTCAGCAGAGGTGGCGGAGGTTAGGGTGTTTGGACAAGGCTGGGAGCCTGTGGGGGAAGCAGCATGAGCTATCCCACCTGGAGGAGGAGTCGTGGCTCCAGCCCCAGTGCCATAAGCCTGGCTCCGCGAAGTCTAGCCAACATCTGGAATGGATATCAGGAGACACAGGAGGCCTGCTGGCTCGCCCAGCTACCTTTGTACTTTTCATTGCAAATTGAAAAGCAAAACAGATATCAAGGATGTATTTATATAACTGTCTTCAAGCTGGGTTTTCTACTCCCATCTGCTGCACATGATAAGTTTCAAGTGTTTTCTAATAAAGGGAGTGGGGGCCCGGGGTGGCTTGGAAGGAAGACTCGGTGTGCGTACAACTGCCTGAATGCCTGGCTCCTTATTTGGTGTGGAGACCGATCTTGCTTAAGCTTCATTTAAAGATGTTAAAATACCCGCTGGCTGGAAGCGCTTCTGTGGAAAGATGGTCCGATATTTTGCATGTCATGTTTATTCAAAAATTTGTGTTGGATCCCATTAAAGGAAGGACAGAGTATCTTCTCAGAGCCTTCAACCCTTCTCCTTTGGTGGCAATGGAAGCCGCACATATTTTTGTTGTTAAGTCTTTGGAGAGAGGAGAGACGTGGGGGCGTGAGATGGCAGGAGGAGATATTTAGAGAAAGAAATACAACACAAGATAGAAATACATCAGGGCCAAACCAAGATAATTTAGGTTTGTCTGCATTTAGGTAAGTACGTGAATCCAGATGTGACCTTGCTGGCTATTCATGGACAAAGCTGGAATCTCTGTCAGCCAAGTTCACTGCAGAACTGAACACTTGAGTTACCAGCCAGGGCTGAAACTGTTCTTTTCTTCTTTCACTTTTCAGCTAATAAGAAAAAAAAAAAAAACACTCAGAAGGAATCTGATTTTCCTTGTACCGCGGAGGCATGTATCCACCCACAAAGAGAATCACAATGCAACGAGGATGACGACGGTGTAGTTGGTAAAGTGCTGGTGGCTGTTCGGATAAGAAGATCAGAGTTCAATCCCCAGCACCGGCATTAAAGACATGCATGGGAGTACATGCCATGGCATGCCGTAATCACGGTACCAGGGAGGCAGACACAAGAGGATCCTCAGGGGGCTTGCTGGCCAGACAGCACAGCTGAACCCTTGAGCTCCATCTTCAGGGAGAGACCCTGCCTCAAGATACAAGGTAGGAAACAACTGAGGAAGATACATGATATCATTGACCTCTGGACACATATATACACACACATGTGAACCCCCATTCACTTGAACATATATGTGTGTGTGTGTGTGTGTGTGTGTGTGTGTGTGTGTGTGTGTGTATGTACATATGTACCAAAAAAAAAAAAGACAACTACCCAGATAATTAGGAATTTATCAAAACAAAGCACTATGCCTGAAGATCTAGACATATGGGGTTAAAGGAGAGCATTCTCCAAGCTTCATTGGTAGTCTGCTATTCGCTCTGAGGACAGTCTATCTGGAGCTTGAAGGAAAAGTAGAGTGTCCAGGCCAATTATTGATCAACCCCCAAGAAGTTTCCTTCTGGTCAGTTTTTCTTTTGCATTCAAATGAAGATAAGCTATGCTGATCCAGAAACACCACGGTCCCTATTAACATGCTGGACACAGAATGGTCCAGGAACACGCAGTAGAGTTCTCAGAACACAGCTGGCCGCAGCCTCAGACAGGGGTGGAAAGATCGAGGCCTTGAAACAAGATAGATGGAGGTCAAGCTCTGCTCTCTACCACTAACTGCCCTGAGAGCTACATAAGCTTTTTAATTC